AGCCCAACTGCATAGAAATAGAATAAAAATACATGAAAGAAAAATAATGTTTTAAAAAAATACAAAGGAAAATAATAAAGTTTTAATGAGATCTGTATGACTTCTGGGAATATTTTTTTTAAATTTGTGTCAAAGCAAAATACTGTTGGAAATTTTATTTTACTGCTGTAAATATTTCCTTATTAAAGACCATTACAGTTGAGAGTACATTAAGACACATACAACATTAAATTGTCAGATCCAATTTTAATCATTTAAAATAATAAAAAATTATTACATAATCTTCAATTTTAGAGTAAAATGTTTTTAAGCAAATAATTCAGCATAATGTAATTTATAAAAGATGTGACACTATATTTTCATAAAGAATGACTTCAGTTTTTACTCTACATATATGTTAAAGAATTGTTATTATTCCTTCAACTAATTACTCATTTTTATCCTAATTATATTTCGATTAGAAATTACTTAGTTCAAGGGTCACATCAGTTCATTTCAAACATAGCTGAGACACATTTTTAATCATTATTTAATATGAATAATTTTTTTTATGCTAGAATACTCCAAAACTAAATAGACAAAAATTATTTAATAACTTTTTATGGATGTTTATACATTGTATATTTTATAACAATATAAACTATTTTCATTTTTGTCTGTGTTGTTGAATATATATTTGTTTTAATAATGTTTGTTATTACCTGTTTTACCCAAATGTATGTCATAATTTCACATTAGGAATATAATAAACCCCAAAATAGAATTTTTTAGTTTTATTCACTTATTATAAGACACTTAGTGTATCACAAAAATTCCCATTTAATGTACCAGCTCTCTTTCTATCTGTAGTGAGAGTGAGAGTGACTGTTTCTCGGCATGAAAGACCTGCCTTTTTGCTATTATTTGTTGTCCACCACTTTTTCTTTTTATACTTGTGGTTGATTTCCTAATTATAAACTAATTCTCCACCAAAAAACTAGGGTGAAATCAGTAACAGGTTTTACAATTCATTTTGTAACATTTGGCATAATAAATGATTTTTTAAATTAATAAAAATGGAAACAGTCATTCAAATGGATCTAGGTTGATTAGTTTACCAAGTGATAAATGTTAGTCAACTACTGTATTAAAATGAAATTTCAAGCAAGTTAGAACTGTTAATGATGAATCTAAACCCATACAACTTTAATCCTATAATAGGATATGTAGTGGTAAATGTGCACAATGAAAACAGAATCAGTGTACAAAAAGATCTAATCAAGTAATTTTTTTGTTCTGATTCAGTACTTCATTTGAATTAAAAACTCAAGAATGTTTCCTAAAATTAGAATAGATTGTTAATTCATTGAATCAAGAGTTATAAATAGTTGCAGCTAAAATAGAAGCAATTTCTCTATACTTTGTTCTTTTTTACTTTCTTCATCTGAGTATGTAAAGAAGAGAATAAGAAAATACAGAGAATGAAAAATCAAAATTCAAATTTGTAGAGATTAGCAAAGGATTAGCAATCTAGTATCAATAAACAAAAGATCATAAGTTCAACTCTTACAGGTTATTTGAGACAGTGTGACAAAATTTAATCAATATTGACATACAAACAATAATCTAAGCAAATATTAAATCAATGGAGATATTAGAATGAGAATAATGGAAATTCACTTCAAAACAATGGTAAGCATAATATCTGAAAATGTAACTTAAACAAAATTTAATATACAGTCATGTCTTTTCCTGGTAAATACATTTACAAATATTTTACTCATATTTCCATTTCATTAAAGCATAATTTTCCTTTTGAATAACTTCAAATAAAGGCTGATGCAAACAGGACAAGATGTGTCTAATATTTTTTATTATAGAAGAAATTTTAAAATATAGTAGTAGCATGCATAAGAAAGTCATATTTCCTTTGGTATGTTCTTTGCTCATCATTTTATGATGTAGCATGAACTCAAAAAAAAAAAGGGAATATTGAACTCAATATTTTATTATGCTACTATATTATTATTATTATTATTATTCCTTAATACTTTAAAAATGTTTGCATTTTACCTAATCTAATACTTGGTTTTAGGCAAAGAAAAATGCATTTCCTTTTTTTGATGATGATACATTAGTTTGAAGAACTGACATAACTATTATTAATAATGCCCATAGCGTTTTGTGGGATATGTTTATGCTGCATCAACTGATGGTCAAAGAATGTGCTGGCCTTAATAGTTCAGCCAAACATGTGATAAGACTAGATTATTTTGTTAAGGATCAATTAAAAAGAAATTTAAAAGAAATTAAAGCAGGTAACAAGTTCGGTTATTTACAAGAATAGTAACATAAGTGCCTACGGTGACGTTTTAAATGGATGTAATGGTACATATTAAAAAGATTAGTCTTGTAAAATATTTAAAAATTCAAAATCATCATTTCATTTATTTTTGTCAATAAATTCTACAAAATGCCTTCTTGTACTGATGGAGAGAAAAGGGCAGTCTATAGATTTGCTGAAAACCAGCATGGTAATCAACAAACTTAATATGATCAGTTTATAGACTTTGTACAAGTATTCCTTTAAATACTTACTGGAGTAAAAAAAAAAGGTTTTAAATATTATTTCAAAAATGCAAAGATAATCAGAAAAATATTTTTAGTTGTTAGTAATGCAATTTGATTAACTAAAGAAAAGGAAAAAATAATAAAATTTTAGTGGTTGTCTGTTTTTGTAACAATAAGAATAATAAATACAATGTCACCAAAATAATATGTATATTTTCAAATCTTGTTCATATATCAGTTATTTTGAAAATGTGGACATATATATATATATATATATATATATATATATATAAATTCTTTTTATTTTGGAGAACAAGAATTTTTTAAAAAGTTTTTTAAATGTCTTGACAGTTACATGGTTTTGGCTTGAAAAGAATTTGACAAATACATAAATACTGAAATATATATCAGCAATAAACTGGAATTAAGCTGCTGATAAAATTTCCTATATTTTCTTTTGAGTCAAAAGTATCAAAAATGCATAATTTTGAAAAGAAGAGAAATATCTCCAAAGGAGAAAAATTACAAAAGGCTAAAATATAGAACATTAGATAGTGTTGAAAACAATCTCAGTATAAATCATGAAATGTTTCATCAGAAAATATTCATTTAAAGGTATAAATAAACATGAATTTGATATAAATTAATGGATTTTCTTTCATTCATTGAAGAAAAGAGAATAGATTGGAAACTGTAAAAATCAAGGATCATGATCTGTAGTATAAAAATATCAAGCAAGTTGCTTCTTAACAAATTATAAAACATTAACTTCCCTCATCATCAGAACATCAGTAATAATAATAATAATTACCATTTATATCTCTGATAGTCATTAATACATAATGATTCAAGTTACATTTTCAGTTGTAACAAAATAGTCAATAGATAAAAACTTTGATTCAAAGGAGAAATTATATTTTTTAAGGGTTTTTATATCTTTTTAATTTTGGAGTACACTTCCATCTTTTTACTGGCACAAAAAGAAATTGTTGAAAAAATAAATAGACAAAAACTACTGTGTTTTCTAGTCAAGGAATTAATAAACTTCAGTTGATTCAGCAATATGCTTAAATTTATGGGTTGTCATCTGTGACAGGCCCAACACAGTGTAGTTACAGTTTTCCTGCATACAATGATAGTGAGTTTGTTTTTTGTTGTAATTGCATGATGGGAAATGACAATGATCATTGCTCAAGTACTTCTGGAAACCATGTGAAGCAATATTCTCCATTTTAAGATGAAATTTGCGATGAGCAGTAACTTTAGTCGTGTCTGTGCATACAAAGTCACATTTGAGGCAGTGATAATGCGATGACTTACTGTTATATTCGCAAGACTTGTATTCACAGTTCACATTGGCACGGAACTGTTTGAAGTCACCCCCAGTAATGCTATCAATCCTTTCATGACGAAGTTTGTGCTGGACAATTCTTGACCTGTCACTGAAGCCATATCCACAGTCTGGGCGCTGACAATGAAAGTGGGTAACCATGTGTTTGTAAGTACATTTTGCATACTTGCAGTCTTCACTGTACTTTACCCTAATGTACCCATCAGTCATTTTCTCCCCAACTCCAGACACAGACCCAGAAGAAGGGCGATGGTATTTAAGGCAGGGAGATTCAGCACTTTCTAATTCTTCACTTTCTGCTAGTCGTTTTCGTACCAAGTGCTGTGAAAAATTTAGCTCAGCAGATAAAAGACTTTTCCTGGATACAGTAACATTTTCCTCTCTTTTGTTTTCAATGATGTTGTCATCTTCTTCAGAGGTTTTAAAGACAGTTGTTGGCTCAGGTGTTGACAGCATGGACACTTTTGTCCGCTGACTAGGAAGGCATTTAGTCACTGTTGTGACATTATTAGTCTTCATAACTGCAGTAAAATTGGGTAACCCAATTAAAAAGGACGGTATGTTTTTGATGGCAGGATTTTTACTACTAATGGATTCTCCTGGTATAAGGTCATCATTGTCTTCATTACTCTTTTCTTCATTTCTTTTATTTTTTTCATTCATTTCTTTAATCTGATTATTGGCACACTTATCCCTAGATATGTCTTCTTGCACCATGCTTTCAGGCACAAAGGAAATATCATGGAATTTTAGTCCATGCTTACTCATGTGATATTGAAGACGTGATGGCTCTGAGAATGCTTGATTACACTGAGGACAGTGGTAATGGTCCCGCTTCTTAAGTTTGCAAAATGGACGACCACAATTTTGATAAACAGAATAATGCATCTTTTCTTTAACAGAGGACCAATTTGGATGGAAAGAAGTATTCTCAACTTTTTGTTGAAGCAACAATGGGAGAGCATTGCTACCATTAAGGCTTGTTTGAGAGACAGGCACTAAAGAGGTTCCCATTGTGCCAGTAGAAGAATTAAACATACCAGGCATGGGGAGACTCATATTTACAATAGAAGTATTGACAATTTGGTTACTATTAACCTTACTCTGTGGCTGAGTTAAGGAGGTCAGAGGCCGTGTCTGGCAGGTAGGGATTGTTGAAATAGGATAGAATGTCCCAGAGGATTTGATCACAGCTTTGCTTGTTGGCTGAAGGGCAATTTTGGAAACAGCTGGCATGATTGGAACAAAGGATGTCATCGCACGTTTAGACATTGGAGACAAGTCTAGTTTCTCTTGATGCTTCTTGTCATGTGGGATCATTGTGTTGTGGCGGATAAAAGTATAATCACATTGGGGACGTGTGCAGTGAAAATGTTTGTTGATCTTGTTGTTGTAACACTGGGCTCGGTGGCAGTCAACATTATGGTCAAAAAATTCAAAGCCTTCAAGAATATTTACAAAACTGTGAAAATCCTTTGTATGCAAGCTTAACACATCAAGACGGTCAGTGGCATGATGACAGCGAGGTTTTGTACAGTGGTAATGTTCCTTCATCAAATACACACAATCTTCATCTGGACATACTTCCCTTTCTCTATACATTTTAAAATTATTTTCTACAGTTAGCTCAGGTGGTGATTGTGCATTTCTCATATTATCCTCATTGAATGGTGCCAGAAAATCACTGGACATCGACTGAACTTTGGACATTAATGGGATGTCCAGACGTGGGTATTTAGGAGGACGGCCTCGACGAGGTTTTGCAACATCAACTTCTGGCTTAATTAGAGGATATTTGACAAATCTACTGGAAACAATCTGACAATTATGGTGCATATGGTAATGTTCCAGTCGTGCAAATATTTCACTGGAGTGAGGAATGCTCAAGTTACAACCAGGCTGAAAAAAAATAGAATTTAAATATACTTTTAGAACATTGTTCATTACAATATTGTGATAAATTTAATAACTGTCATATTTCGGAATTAAATATATGTCAGAAAGCTTAAAATCACAAAAGTAAATTTGCAGATTAAACCTTAGAAACCAATTGTAATGAAAATTTCCATTCTGGTGTAAATTTACATGCTTATTTCAAAAATAACAATAAAAGTTTGTAGAAGAAAACCATTTATGAGTTATTGACAATCTAAATTCGACCCCATTTGTGTTGTGGTTACAGCCCGGCTGCCATTACTGGCTTTGTTTACATATGTTTGCCTAGAGTAGTCATGTGTGGAAGCTTCACTTTAAGCATCACGAACTTTAAATTTTGTGAATTGCTCAGTAATCAAGATGTGTAATAAGATAAGAAGATCAGTAAAAAGGGTGTTAACTAACTAAGCTTCCATGTATTACTACTCAAGCCAAACGTATGTAAACAACTCCAGTAATGGTAGCCAAATAAGGTTAAATTTTATTGTCTATAATTCCTAAATGTTTTTCTTCTGCAAACTTTTATTGTTATTTTGGAATTAATCAGGCAATTTCACACCAAAATGGAAATTTTCATTACAATTGGTTTCCAAGGCTTAATCTGCAAATTTACCAAAAAATCTAATGAAAATATATTTTTCATTTCAATTTTGATTGAAAATAGTTTTTAACTTAACTAAGAACAGGCAGTTTGCTGTGCAAAATTGCTTTGTTAAAATGAATGCTATAAGCAACATATTTGTATCTTTTTTTTCTTTTTTTTTGGTAAAACATAATTTAAAAACTAAAAAAACGGATCTCAGTATTTTAAAATAATAAAGTTTTTACTTAGATTTTTAAAATTATTTTTATAATATTTTTATTGATTTGTTTTAAGATTAGAGGTTCTTATAATCTAATGTGTTATCTTTATCAATGTTTAGATAAACTTTAAAATTTCATTGGAAAAATCAGATATTCTCAATATGTAAAATGGTTAAAGTTACCCTTTTAACAATTTATTTTTCTAAAAATGTCACAAACAACTTTAGAATTGAAAGTAAGCTCGAGAGACAAGTATTTTAGTATTTACTTACCCATTTGCAATGATAGTGTTTACTTTGTAAATTAAATTGACATTTTTCTGAACAAGCCTCATTTTCTTCATATAATGTATATGACATTGAACTGACTCGGTCTTGAAGCTCATGGAATCTGAAAAACAAAAAAAAGTGTATTTTTTTTAATTCTGAGAATTTTTAGTGTGCTTAAATTACAAATTAACTGTAAAAGGAAATAAAGAACACTGCATCTTAGTTGGTCTAACACATACATCATTTTGTTTAAGTAAGTCTAGTAATCACCAACACCTGGTTCTAGGAGCACCCAAAAGGTTGATTATGTAACTATGCACAAATGCAGTTCTATACTGCAAAATATATCCAAGTGCTGATTGTTACAGTGATCATTTTCCAGTCAAGACTATGGAAACTAACAAAAACCAAAATGATGCCTAAACTACAATAAAGGAACCAAGTTGCAAAGAGGCATACAACAACTGAATATAAGCTAAATGAGACTACAAAATCAAAGTGTAATATGTCATGAAAAACACTGACAGCAAATGAGATCATCGCAAAGAAAACAAGACAAGAAAAGAACAAATGGATGACAGAGGAAATTCTAGAGATAATGAAAACGTTACAAGAAACAGTGGAAAAAATAACACCAAACAGAAATTTAAAACAAATGTACAGAGGCTAAAGAGGAATGAATCAATGAAAAGTGTGCATAATTAGAGAATGAGCAATACAAGTACAGCAATTATGCATAACAGAATAAAAGAATTAACAGGACAAAAGGTGAGCCAAGGGTCAAATAAGAGACTCTTTAAAATCAAAAGAAGGCTCAGTGATAAGAGAAAAAGAAAAAATACTCCAAAGGTGAAGAAAAAATGTCAAAGAACTTTTTCACAGTGCAAGAGAGAATTCTTTGCTGGAAAATATGGAAGGGCCAGAAATACTAAAAGATGAAGTAAGATCAGCACTGGAGATGAACAGCAACAGGGCTTGATGTGATTGTAGCAAAAATACTCTCAGCCTTAGATGATTCTGGCATCAACAAAATCATAGAAGTAATAAACAAAATATACAACAGTGGCCACATGAATAGCTACACCAAAATAGAAAGGGGCATGAGACAAGGATGTGTCTTCTCTCCAGATTTATTCAACCTCTACAGTGACCCTATCCAAAGAGAACTGGAGATCCTACCAGGATTTGTTATTAGTGTAATCTTAGCAACACAAGATATGCAGATGACACTGTGTTGGTGGCCGACAAAGAAAGAAGACTACAGAACATGGGGTGATAGAAGAAAGCAAGAAAAAGGAACTAACCATCAACTAGCAAGAAGAAAAAGCCCAAGATGCAAGTTAAACATCAAGCAGGGGCAAAAGTTTAAATATCTTGGAAGTGTTTTATTAGAGGATGGTAATAAGGAAGGAAGGCTTGGAAAATTTAATCCACACAAGGCATATTGAGAGCAAGAGAGATAAAGGAAGGCAGCAAGCAAATAGATGCCAGAACAAGAGGCAGAGGAGGTGGGGTGCTTAGCAAAGGAAGAAAAATTGCTAAGAATCACACAAGACAAAACGTTGTGGATAGCCTTGATCACCTGTGTCTGGAAGGGATGTGGCACACAAAAGAACAATAACTTTGTTTTCCAAACAATGTAATTAATCTAATAATGGAAAAGGATTTGAAACTATATCTGAAGCATCAAGATAAGAATATTTAGCTATGAAATAAAAAAACTAAATTACTTACACCATGAGAATATACATTTTTGGAATAAACCATATAATTTTTTTTTTCTCTGGATTAGGACCAATTAATATTTGTCACTTTGTAGTAAACAACCTCAACAATATGACACTTGTAATAGAAGTTCTGATTTTTGCCTTCAATCTGTGATGTGAGTATCAAATTTTTGCCTTCAATCTGTGATGTGAGCAACAAATTTTCCATCCCTCTTTCCTTATTATGTTCCCAGAAATTTCAAGTGTCTTTTGTTTCCATTATCTCTAAAACTTTGTTGTTACTCACATGTTTAGTCCATGGTATTCTCAGCAGTCTTCTGTAGAACCACATTTGTATTGTTTCAAGTCTCATCTGGGAGTAGATTGTTCAGCATTCACTGCCATATAGGGTCACTGATATTACATAACAGTTCAGTACTCTTTTCTTTGTTTCTCAAGCAAAGTATTATCTTCTTTCAATTGAGGTTTAGTTCTTTCTTCTTACTTTCTTTCACTATAGGAGTTCTTGTAATTTCCTTTCTATATCTGTTATCAACACTGTGTCATCTACATATCTTATGTTGTTAAGATAGTGGCCACTAATAATGAAACCTGGCAGGACTTCTAATTCTCTCAGAATCATCTAACTGTATAGATTGAATAAGTCTGGTGAATATATTTATTGAATTCATTTTCTATTCAGATGCAGGCAGTTTGCTGCCAGTATAGGTTCTGGATTATTCTAATATCCTTCCTAAATAGGTCAATGTTACCTAGAAGTTCTTTGTGATGTAATTTATCAAACAATTTTGCATAATCTATAAAACATAGGTATATATCCTTTTGCATTTGTATTGCTCTTTATGATATCATTCTGAGCATAAATATAGCAATCATTGTTCCAGTGTCTATAATGAACCTGCAGTTTTTGTCCTATTTCTGGTCTATATCTGCTGTGCTCTCTGTTCATAAGAATTTGAACAATAAATTTTGCTGACTTATTTGGCTGATTGCCCAGTGGATTTCATTCTTTTGCACCCGGCTTTGTAGGCAGTGTTATGAAAATGGATCTACTTATATCTTCCAGTATGTCATCACTGTTGTATATTTCATTTGTAATATTTTTAATCATGTCAATGCTGAAAACATCCTAGGCTGTCAGCCTCTCGATTACAATTCCATCTGGCCCTGCTCCTTTGTTTCTTTGGCCAGTTCTAATTTCACTTCAGATTTTAATATTTCTGGTCCTTTGACATGCTAGTTCTCTCTCATCATGGAAGTGTTCTCTAATGTATACATTTCATCTCTGAAATGCATTTTTTTTCTCTAATATCAGTGTTCTGTCTTTGGATTTTATGTATCCTGTTGATGAGCATGTCTTTTGTCCTATTAGTTCTCTTATATTTTTATGCTTATATGCTTTATCTGTGATACCTATTCTTTCTATTTTTGTAAACTTTTTTTGAGCCATTTCTCTTTAGCCTGCCTGCATTTGTTCATAATTTCTTTGTGCAGTGTTCTATATTCTGTGCAATACCTTGCCATTGTTTTTTGTCTCCTTCTCATCATGCTGAGAATTTCATCTGTCATCGATTCTGTTTTTCTTTGTCTATTTTTTTTTTTTTGGGGGGGGGGTGATTTTGATTGCTGATGTTACTAAAGCTTCTCTTAATGAATTTCCATTCTCATTTTGTTCCTTGTCTCTATTTCTAACACTGTCCATATATTTCTCCTTCATATTTGGGTCATTCAGGAGTTTTATTGCAATTTGGGTGCTGCTTTGGCCTTCTTTATTTTCTGTAGTTTCACTCTAAGTTTATGTATCAGTGGAAGATGGTCACTTGGGTCAGGGTTCCCACAGATCTGTGTAAAAAAATTTCCTGAACTTTTTAAGGACTTTTTCCGGATTATGTTAAAAAGTTTCAAGAATTGAAACTGGCGTGCATACACGTGTTGTGGGCTGGTGTATGTGTTAAGAGATAAACACATGTGTCTCTTGAAATGCCCACAGCAAACATGTCAGACTCGAGATGTGAGTCCATGTAAAGAAATGTAAAGAAACAACAAGAACGAATGAATATGTACAAACAAATGATAATATATTAACAAGAAAGGGTTACAAGTGACAAAGACAAAGATGTGTGTGCGTCAAATGAATGTGAAAACCTTTTTGGTCCAATGTATGTGTAGTGAGTGAATGTGCATATGTACATGTGTGCGTTTGTGTATTATTTATGCATTACCCAAAAGGGAAGTGCATTCTCCAAGAGAGATTTACATGTTGACATGTAAGCGGAAAAAGTACAAAGAGAGTGATAAAAATTGTCACAGAAGAATTTATAGTCTTGAGAGCATCTCCTAGGAATAGTTTTGGAAATTAGGAGGAGGCGTTCAAGCATATGTTTTTCGGTCTTCAGTTCTTCAATTTTCCTAAGGATGGATTTCCGTTTTTTCTCCAGCTTCTTCTTCCTGCCTTTTTGTCTTCTCAGCCTCAAAGTATTTGTTGTATGCTGTTCTGGTATTGGAAGCACTGCAGAGAAGTGCCTTAGTCATGGGAACATTCCCAGCACCTCCAACTGTAGTCAAATAGTCTGTGATAATGTGCTGTGCAACCAGATCCTGCTGTTTCATATTGTTAGTGAAAATTTCCTTACTGACCAAGAAACCTCTTTCCACTAAGGCCTGTCCAGCAATCTGTGAACAACTTATCACATTTTTAATATTCTTTGTTGCTAGACAAAGAAGGGTAGAACAAAGTGTCCAGATGGGCTTCATACTTGCTGAAATTCTTGAATGCAATATTTCCAGCAGCCTCCTCCTCAAACTCTTTGTACTCACTGATGATGACTTGTTTTCTGACCTTTGTGTGGGATAGACATTTTTTAGACTGCCTTATGTGGCAAATGTTTTCCACAAATGGATCTACGGTTCAGTCATGTAGGTGACCTTACAAGAGGGTATCTAAGGGGAGAATCTGCCAGAAGTTTCTCAATGATGGTGATGAACATTGTCTTTGTTGCGATTATGCATGAAAACAGATCTTTTGTTGAATTTGCATAGCCCTATCTGCCAGAAATCCATACTCGATCTTTGCAGCATCTTTATGCATGTTTAGGTTTCACAAAACTCTTCCAAATTCATTCAGTTTGGAAAATTAATTATCTTTTCAGTGTATTCTTCCGTTAGAAATCTTCTTAACCCCCTCCCCCTGCCAATTATTTTGAGAAAAATGTTTAATTTTCAGATGAATTTTTTTATTTGTTTTTAATATAGTAACTGAGAAACTGAGGCATCTTGAAGTACCCGAGCAGTGGCTAACATCTCTACTAGATGTATGAGTTTACAAATGGACTCATTTCAAGCTCAGAAGGGCATGAAAAAAGAATCAAAATCAACATATAAACATGTCTGTAGCTGGTTTTTGAACATTATGTTTTGGACATGTTTATTCTTCCATATCAAAAAAGTCACTTTCGGTAAACAACCACAACAATATGACAAAAAATAATAGAAGTTCTGATTTTTGCCTTCAATCTCTGATGTGAGTATCAAATTTTTGCCTCCAATCTGTGATGTGAGCACATATATATACACATCTATGCCAGGGAAGGGGTTAACAGCTTTATGATTATGCTAAAAAGATCATCTGCAAGGAAAAGAAACAACAGTTTCTTGCTCTGATATTTTATTAGAAACGGTTTAATGTTTATTGAAAGAAAAAATCTGCAGTTTCACTGGAAATAAAACGTCATTCACGTTTGATAGCACTGCAGAAAAGGACATGGTCTGGGGATATTTTCTGTTTTTTAAATAAGTTCACAAATTTGATGACATTTGACCAAATGTTTAGTAGTCATCCATATGTTTGTACATTTTCTTGCCATCTATGGCAGAAATATAAAACTTCAAAAAAGTAAAGGGACAGGGTTGCCAGATTGAACCTTTAAAGCCAAGCAATAAAAGCTAAATAAGTTTTAATTACACCATTTTTTTACACTTACAACAAAAGCTAGAGATACAGGTCATCATTAAACTGTAAACTTTAAAAATAAAATTGTTATTTTTTCAAAGATGCATTTTCTATCCCATCCTAAGAAACATCAAAAGTCTACATTTTCTTTGAATCAAATTTGATTCTCAAACTTGTTACTTTTGGCAACAATATTTTAGACAAACATAGTTTACACATAGATACACATTGACACAGACGTGTAAAGTACCTATTTTTTCAGCATGAATTCATTCACCACCGACTTTTTACCAAAGGACTTTTTACTTTTGAAATTGACACATGAATAACATTTTTTCAATTGTTCAAATTTTAAAAAACACTGATAAATTTTTCTAGATTCTACTAAAATGTATTTTATTACTGTAAAATAATTTATTTTCCTTTTAACTACAAATTCAATCAGTGTGAATTAATTTATGTTTGACAGAGATGTTTATTTATCTCTGACATCTTTTATCTTTGCTTTTCCTCTTTTCTTGTTGAATGAGGGTAGCAGCTAGATGAGAAAATACAGAAGAGTAACTACAAAGACATGAACTCATTCTAATCAAGGAAACAAACCACTGTTTGCAATAATTGCCAAATATTACGGATGACTAAAAATACACTTTTCTTAAAGGACATTTTTGGCTTGTAAAAATCCAGATATCTGGGATCTGCCATTTTGACTTTCATGAACTGAGAAAAAGGATGCATAGGAAGCCCAATCTAGAAAATTACAGGATTTTTCAAAGAGGTTTTGGGCTATTGCTGTTTTTCCAGAACTTTTCAATCAATGGAAAAGTCCATGTCAATTTTCCGGGACATTTCAAGGTTTCCAGGACCTGTACAAACCTTGTTGGGTATGTTTTGCAGTTTAAATTTACATTTCTGAACATCTTGGGTATTCCTGAAACCAGGTGTTGGCTACTACTCTGGTTCGCTGTTTACCATAGAACCCATTTTTTTTTGCATTCATTATGAGTTCCTAGTCCAAATTTGTCAACTATTTCATCACCTCTGCTTGCCTACTTTGGCATTCAGGTCTCCCATGACAATTGTAATTTCTTGCAATTTGTATTGAGCCTTGCTATTGTCTAGCATACAGCAAATCTTTTCAATTTCTTCTTCTATACTTTGTGCTGTCTGTGTATATTCAACTATGATGGATATGTTGAAATGCTTTACTTTCAGTTTAACTACAAGAATTCTTTCAGATAGTTGATAGTATCCCAGAACACATTTCTTCATGTCTTAGTCTAATCAGTCTTATTCCTCTCATTTTTTTTTCTGTCTGCATATATGATCCTGTATTTGTTACTGATGAAATCTTCATTGCTTGCCCACTTTATTTCACAGATGCCTAAAATATTAACATTTAACCTATTCATTTCTTTCTTTATATTTTATAACTGGTCACATTGATTTAGTCTTCAGACATTCCATATCCTGATAATTATTTTTTGTTTAATGCAAACAGTTGCTGGATGATGGTCTGGTGTACTACTTTTTAAATTTGTAAATCTGCTTAATCATGACTGTAACTAAACAAATGTGTCACTGTCAATTGAACAGCACATTTTTTCTCTCTCATCTGACAAGATAAATTTTCCAGTTTTCATTTTATTTTCCATGAGATCAAAGGAAGGAACCAAAATTACATTAGCCCTATTTTACATGTCAAGCAACTGAATTTCACTTTTCATATCCCTCTCATTTATCAAGATAAAATACTGTATAAACAAATCTACATACCAATAAATAAGTTAATTACATAACTTACGTTCTAAGAATTGTAGAGAAAATAATTTAATTTCACTTCCTATTGGTAAGTTCTACCATCTAAGAATTTTAGAATTTACTCTTTCCTGAATTAATCTACAGAAATAGTTGTTCAAGAATTACACATAACATTTTAAATTACTTTCCATGTTTTTACACGGAAGGGGTCTAACTAACCTTGCATGTTCTCTGACTCCATCTTTTGACCTGTAAGTCATACCACAACCAGATACTTGGCAATGATAATGGTCTTTGTAGAGGAGATCACATCTAGGATTGCATGGATCGTTTGCTGTGTACCTGTAAGAATGTAAAAAAGATTAAAAAGAACAGTCCATTGCTATTTCAGTATAATTATTAAATGTTAAATTAAACTCCTATTTCTAAATAATCTTTATTCCCTTTTGTACAACACCATTTTAATGATGTTGTTGTTCAAATATGATATAAGGACCATACTGAAATAATTTTATTATGATGGCCAATGACATCAGAAGCAAATGCTGGTGGTATGACAGTACAGGTTGAACTTTGCCAACAATAAACCAAATTTTTGGCCTTATTTTTTTTATAATCATTTCAAGCAAGGCAATAAGGCCACTAAGACTCAAGGGGTTACTGAGTGTTAGAGAATGAGAAAAAAAACACTATTAAGGAGAGAGAACATTAAAAGAACAAGAATTAAGTATATAATGGCTGACACTAAATTAAAATTTTTGAAGATGATTGGGAAATAAAAAGCCAGAAAAGTTCCATAAGCAAGAAGTGTGATAGAAGAAACTGTTAGCTTACAGTTATATCTAGGCATTTCAACTGTCAAATGAAGAGACATTGCCACCAATCTATTACTGTGCTTACAGTCTGATGTCAAAAATACTTGCAGAATGTTTGCAGAGAGGAAACAGTGGATGTGAGCACAGCAATGTGTGTGACAAGCCATAATCTAGATAGCTCTGCACAGCTTAAAAACACATAAAATAAAGAGCACTTTCAAAATATACTTGTAATAATGGTAACTATGTGGAAAAATTGTGTTTCCTGTATCTGTTATAGTTTCCAAAGAAAGAAATAAGAGGCACTACTTCTAGAGCATCCTCTATATAACACTGAAATTTTAACATAGCCAAATTATTTTTCATTGGGAAATTTTAAGAAATGGCAATTAAATTTACCCAGCACCATTTGATAGTTCCATTTAATGAAGGCCATGAAGTAAATTTGCTCTATTATATTCAGTAGTGTCTTTTTTTATTCATTAGCAATACAAGTAAAGGAAACATATCACAGACATCTCAGGATGTTGTTTTGGTGATCATGGCTCTCCACAATTTCCTGTCTCGTAGCACTTAATAAATTTTGTCTTTGTTATCTACAACAGAATATCACTGGTCATTTCAATAAATTATTACATTTGGTCACATGGCAGATTTTTTATTGTGGTGCCAACTGTATATGATATTCTTGCAATTTTATTTTTAGTAATCACAAATGAAGCTTTATACTTTTGACTTAATATTAATGTTGAACAAATGATCTGTATACCAATCCTTCTCAATACAAAAATGTTAATCTTATACTTTTGAATTGTGCATGAAAATACATACTGAATATCCAAAACTGATTTTTTATAGAAAGAAATATTAGCAGAAATTATCATTAGCAAGATGTTAGGTCAAAGAGACTATAAAAATTGGGTAGATGTGGTTGCATAATGCTAAAAAAGTGAATTAAGAGATAGAAAATTTGAAGATAAAGATTTTTATTAGACTGATTTTTAACAGTTTTCATAATTTAAAAAGTAAATGGGATAGTAAATAAATACAATCTATTATAAAAAATAAATAAAATTATTTTTAGAAAATACTCTTGAATACTTTAAATACAAAATTGAATACAAGAAAACACTTAAAAAAACTGCTTGTTTGTCATAACTGTGAAACAAAAATAAAATTTATTCAATGCCCTAAAATTTATCAAGGAAATCATTAATTACAAATATTTGTAACTCTAGTTATGATTGCAGTTAAACAAATTTAAGAAACAATCAAACAGCACAATATTTTTTTCTTACCTGACAAGATAGATTTTCCAGTTTTCATCTTTCTCTTTTTTTTCTATGATTTTTTGGGTTCCTGGATGTGAAAGCAAAGAGTTGCTGGCTGCAGAGTTATGCACATTAAGAATAATGTGATTGTCAAATAACTCAGTCTTTATGTCACTTGATGGAATAGGGAGACTGAGAGAATCATTCAATGAATCACCAACAAGATCTGAAGCCTGTGACATTAGCATTGATGTTGGAGGACTAGTATTTTCAGATTTAATCACTACACTTTCTTGAGAAGAATTGGGTGTTGAACATGAAACTGCAGATCCATTTGCATATTCATTTGGCTCTTCATTCTCAAAGATTTCTTTTTTCACGTTGTCTTTTTGCAATTTTTTTATTTAAAATCTTTTTTTTCAAT